TATTTTCCCCACATAAATAAATAAGATTCAAGATTATTTATTGAAGACATTTAAGCATGAGTTTATTCTTTAAGCATGAGTTTATTCTTTAATCATGAGTTTATTCTTTAACATAAATTATTGTACCAAAATCCTTACAATGTAGTTGTACACATGTCTATTCATGTGTAGTATATTAGAAAGAACTTGTTTCCAGATAAGTGTGTACACACCTGTACCCTTAGGCTGTAATAAATATGATCAAGGTTTTGTACTTTCACTTGTCTTAGTCTATGCAATGATAACTTTGTCATTGTTTTCTGAATGATCAATGTTTACAGATAATTAAGTATACCTGCAAATGTTTTGTTTCTTCTTGATCTATACCTGGGTGTTCAGAAATAGAGTACATCTTTTAATAGAGAACATTCAGTACATTCGATGAAACAATCATAGTGCACCAAAGCTTATGCCAAAACTTTATGAATAAAGTGTACCAAGATTTTGTTTCTGCTACAACAGACTAACATGATTGAAGTGATATGGTGTAAAGTTACACACAAACTGTCCACAGGGGCTTTCTTCCAAGTCTTAAACTCATTTACTTCAAAGTCCAGTTTATAGTTTTTTTTTTTCTAAAGTATGGTATGTGCAATCTCTTCTTGGATAAACATATAAAAAGTAAGGTTTATTTAATGGATCAATGGATCCTGTCCCAAAGGTGAGAGTAAATAAATAAATAAGTTGTACTGGTATCAATTCTTCTGAGGGATCTCTCGGTGCATTTCAGATTGAGATTAATTAAAATCTCCAGAGTAATATACTTTTTCAAAGTGGGAATTCTTATGGAATTTCAATAGGCAGCATATTTTTCATGTCTCCCTTTTTTAATCCTTCCTGAAAATCATCAATATCTAATACATTCCAAATAAAGCACATGAATTAGTTATATGCATCTGTTAATTAAATTAACCCCAAAGATTGAAATTCTATGAATATTTGTGGGAGGTGGCAAAAGGCCATTAAAATGTTTCTGTCAACGGTGCTAACATCAGATGTTCTTGCTTTGACAACAGATGGAAATGCAGCCATTTTCTCTATTGCTTTTAGAATTAGTTGCTGCTGGGAGGGGGAATAGGGATGAAAGTCCAACTAGTCATAACAATAATAACTTAATCATGGGAACCCAAGGACATTGGGCCCAGAGCTGATAGTGTTTTGGCAGGCTGGAGAGCTGGGGAGAAAGCCCGTGCTTCCAGCTAATTGGGGAATGTGATTTATGACTATTTATTGGAGGATGGGATTGCACTTTGTTACTTTGTATCCAGGGGAGGGAAATTTAGTTTCTGGTTTCAACTATGTAATGTCCATACTTTGTTTCTTGAATAAAAGATTCTTTAAGGTAAACAATGCCTCGAAATTCTTTTGAAGGGTTTCATCTATCGGAACCATGACAGCTTCATTTCTTCCTATTTCTTGTAGATTCAGCTTTGATTATTCCTTGGATGCCAGGAGTTTGCTATTTAAAAAATTGGTTTTATACATCTTTTTAAAGCTGCAGCTCTATGGAACCAGAACCTGGGGAATAAGCCTTCCTGCCCGCAGTTTGAGGTTTATACCACAGAATCAATAAACATGCCCAGGACTGACATCTCTATTTGTTTTAAATCCAAATAGCTCTGTTTGAAACGAATCGGGTCTGGCGCTTCTGCCTCCAAGACGACTTTTCCCAAGTATGGGTTACGCACCCTTTCCTTCTTGACTTTTTGCTCTACCTCTCCCGACGGTGTCTATGAAAACGAGCGATACTGAAAGGCTTGCCATCCCGCCAGTTGCAAGCTTCGCATAAATGATGACAATGGCTCAGAGGGCTTTTCCCCCGCCCGCCCCCCCCCCCGCGAGAGAACGGGATAGATATGTGAAAATAATATCAGCTTATCCGTCAGAATGAACGTCGGCGCATAGCCAGGCGTGCAATAATCTGACCCGACACCTCCAAACTATCTGCGCTATGTATCTGCCGCCTGATTTGCCAGATCTTCCGGAGAAAAAGTCGCCGGGTGCTTGATACTGGAGAAAAAAAAGAGGTGGAAGAGCCTCCCTCCGGCCTCAGATTTCTCTCCCCAGATAGAGATCGCTGCTCGCGTCTCAAGCTGGAGGTGTTTTGTTTTTTTTTCTCTCACCGCAAAAAGAACACGCCAAACAATCTCCACGGCGATTGCTTATAATTCGCATGTCTAAGGCCCCCCAACTCTTCCACGATGAGGAAAGAAATCTCCCCAAGTCTCCCATTAAGAGAACATCCCTTTTGAGAACTGGGCCCCCCGCAAAGGATTAACAATAAGCCAGGCAACGTGGTGTTGCTAAAAGGCTCTGCCTTAAGTTACTATTCAGTTCCTTTCCAAATATTAAAAGGGGGGTGTCAGGTTTTGAACGCTGTTCTTTAATGTTCTGGGCAAGGAAAAGAGGTGTCTTAGATTTGCTTTTGAGGCGAGCCTTCCCGCCACCTAAGGACGCTCGGATGTGCTGAAATACGAATCCCACGGTCGCGATCAACTTGTCCGTTAATCGGAGGACGTAACCACCGCCAATCTAGAAAGCACCAGCCTGGGGGGGGGGAGTGTTCTAGAATAAATCGGACACCTTGGGCAGTTTTCCTGCATCGCCTTCTCCTCCTCCTAAAGTTGCAGCTCACTCTCTCCAGGGAACGAAAACACCGAATGCGAAAATGATAATTATTTTTTCTTTTTAAAAACAACTTCCCCAAGCATTATAGTAAATGTGGGGTTCTTTTTGTTCATTTCGAGCGAGGGACTGGCCCTTTACCTAATATTAAATTGAAGAAGGCGGGATTAATCCTTATCACTGAGATCTGCTCAATACTGTAAAAGATTTCTTTGGAAGTTGCTTGTCCTGACCTACAAATGACTTCTCACTTCTTTCCCGGATTTTCTGAATGTTTCTTCGAGGCTGCTGGAGCGCAAAGATGTGATCTGAAATGGTGGGGTTGGCGGCCAGTTGGGCACAAATTAAGAAGCCAATGGTGTGTGTGTGTGTGTGTGTGTGTGTGTGTGTGTGTGTGTGTGTGTGTGTGTGTGTGTGTGTGTGCAGGGGGGTGGGAAGGATCCCACCAAGAAAGGTCGCTAACGGGGTTCCTGGATGCCCAATGAAGAGAAAAAGCCGATGGTTTTCAAATATTCTTTCACAGTTTTAAAAATAGATTTTAATGATTGAATCAGTATCGGAAACCTTCAACTGTTCGGGAAAGCGAATTTCATTCTCCTGGACGGCTTCCATCTTCCTCACCCTTGGAAGTAAATTTCAAGCGTGGATGAGGACTCACAGTCATCCAGGCAAAGGTGTCTGAAGATTGAAACATCGTTAACTGGACACATTTTTGTTAGTTTGAGACTGCTGATCCAAGCAGCTTCATCCATCAGAAATTGATGAAACACACATTTACACTACGCAGTTAACCCAAATACCAAATTGGCTGTTTTCTTTGTTCCCGCTACAAATCGAAGTATAAGATAACTAAATGGCTGGGTTTACACATCATGCTTTCACCACAAAAACATAAAACCACCTAAACAAACCAAGTTTAATATGCTCACATATAGCCAGTAGATCTTTTACTTGACTTGTAACCCATGTTCTATAATATGAAGACAATACAGTCATTGAATCTTAGAACTAACTTTGGTTCAGCAAGAATTAGATTGGTTTACATTGATGCCTTCCATAATTCTGATTTTTTTAAAAAAAATCTCTTGGCTGAGATCCCTGCTATAGGCTAAACGCAGGTGTGAAGTGTATGTGCGCGTGTTCATTCATTACCTCCCCAGTATCTGGGGGCAAAACGACCCTCTAATATTCCAGCGATCCGTCACAGGTTTCCAGCCTGTTCCGCGCCAGTTCCTTCAGAACCGAGCGTTAGAATCAATGCCATTTACTCCGCAGTTCACGGCCAATGGGGTTCCAGACCGAGAGGAAAGCTGAAAATGAAGAGAAAGAGTTTCATTGCCCGGACTTTCAGGATGTGCGTTTGTGAGCCCGTTACGTTAGGAAACGGACCTGGGCACAGTTACACAGCCCTCGCTTTGGCGTGCAGGAGTTTCAAATTCAGGTCCCGCCACTACCAGGGGCAAGTATAAAATGGTAAGATAATGAAAAAGTACATTTTCCCCGCCGGCTATCCTGCAGAATGCTACCGGGTTAGAGGTCCCCTATACTGGTACCCCCCCCCCTTGCAGCGGGCAAGTTAACTGGCTGGGCAGCCTCGTCCTCTCTTGTTCTCTCACCTCTTTTCCTACGGGATCTGTAGTAGAAACCGCGGCGTCCCCCGTTCTGGCCCGCATCTCCCCTTGCCGGGCTATTTCTTCCCGTCCCATGGCAACGCCCCGCTCGTTTTGCTCAGCCCGCAGAAGCCTCTCTCCGCGTCCTTCGGCTCGACCTCGCACCCCGCGATCTTTTCTCCCCCAAATCCGCCCCTCCCCCCCCCAGCTGAGCGCTCTCGACCGCTGGGAGAGACAGGAGGAGCGACCGAGCGAAAGACCACCCTTTTCTCTCCCAGCCTGGCCGGTGCTCCCGTGTTGGCTGGCTTTCCAGGCGTTGATTGGCAGAAGGTTGACAGTGATGGGCAGGCGCCCTTTCCATGGAAACGGAGGGGCAGCCAATCTGGCGAGGCCAATAGCAGCAAATGAGAAGCAGAAAAGGCGACGACGGCAAAGAATGTGCGGGGGGGGATCCTTGGCTGGGGGCATCTGGGGGCTTTCCTCATCCTCCCTCCCTCCCTCCTCTTTCTCTTCTTTCCCTTCTCTTCCTCCTTCTCACACACATTATCCTCCTGCCTCCCTCCCAAACTTCAGGCCACCGACGGAGCGCGGGGCATTCTGCTTCCCAGCGCCTGAGCGCAGCACGCGTGCGGCAGCGACGGCGCCGCAGCTGCTGCCGTTACACGTTCTCCAAGCGACCGTCTGAAGGGTCGATGCGGAAGGGAAGGCCGGGATTTTTAAAAAAGTAAAATAAAATTAAAAAAAAGCAAGGCGAGAGCGGCGTTTGCTTCCACGACTGGCGAGCCAGACCGCCGCCTTTCTTGCACCTCTGCGCTCGTCCAGGAGAAGAGGAGCGAAGAACCGGCTCGGCTCCAGATTCAGGGGACAAGAGGCGGGCGCCGAAGTCCAGGAGCCCGGCGTCGAAGGAAGGGCCGAAGCTCTCCATTAGCCGGAGCCGCGGAGGAGAAGAGGCGACTCGGCCCAGGAGCCCGCCCGGCCGCCTCCATGTTTCAGCTGCCCATCCTCAACTTCAGCCCGCAGCAAGTGGCCGGCGTGTGCGAGACGCTGGAGGAGAGCGGCGACGTGGAGCGCCTGGGGCGCTTCCTGTGGTCGCTGCCGGTGGCGCCGGCGGCGTGCGAGGCGCTCAACCGGAACGAGTCGGTCCTCCGCGCGCGCGCCATCGTGGCCTTCCACGGCGGCAACTACCGCGAGCTCTACCACATTCTGGAAAGCCACAAGTTCCCCAAAGAGTCGCACGCCAAGCTGCAGGCGCTCTGGCTCGAGGCGCACTACCAGGAGGCCGAGAAGCTCCGCGGCCGGCCCCTGGGCCCCGTCGACAAGTACCGCGTGCGCAAGAAGTTCCCCCTGCCCCGCACCATCTGGGACGGCGAGCAGAAGACGCACTGCTTCAAGGAGCGCACCCGGCACCTGCTCCGCGAATGGTACCTGCAGGACCCTTACCCCAACCCCAGCAAAAAGCGCGAGCTGGCCCAGGCCACGGGACTCACCCCCACGCAGGTGGGCAACTGGTTCAAAAACCGGCGCCAAAGGGACCGGGCCGCCGCCGCCAAGAACAGGTCAGTGGCTCGGACCCGGGACGCAGGAGGAAGGCGACGGGGAAGGGCGGGTAGCTGAGCTCTGCCCAGGATTCATCCAGCAGCCACAGGCTAAGCCTGGGTCAGCCGTACGGTTTGTTGAGTGTCAAGGAGCGCGCCGTGCCCTGAGAAGTAAATCTTATTGCGTCCTAACTTGATGGGCTGCTTGGCACTGCTCGTTAAATCCACTGGATCGAAGCGTTTCCCAGCCTCATTTTAGGCTAGGTTCTCCTGTGATGGAGACCCCAGTAAGACCAGCCAAAAATGCAAATAGGATCCATTTTCTATTTACACGTTCGGTGCGGGTGTCCAGTTTCTGTGAGTTCTGCTCCAGAATACACGTGTTTGGAACCCAGTTGTAATCCTGAGCGTATTTATCTGGAAGAAAGACCATGCTCCTAAGTCTTAATCAGAGGTCAGAGGAATATTCTGCACACTTGTGATATGGTTATGATTATGGCCGCACAGTCAGTCAGTCAGATGGATTTTGCATTTTTGTCCACCTATTCAATATTTCTCCAGGGCCTGGGATGGGCAGATTTGTTGTTTAAATTATTATTGTTGTTATCGTTATTTGCCAAAAATGCTCAAAAGAGTCTCCTTATTTGAAATCCTGTCTCAAAAATCTTAGCTGGTTCTACAGGAACAGGAAGCGAGGAGATAAATTGGGCTCCTTCCACCATGCTCATAATATAGATTGATGTCAGTTTTGTTGATGTTGAAGTTTTGCTTTTATGATATAGTTGTCAACCTGGAATCAGAAAGTTTGGCTTTGCAGGAATAGTGGTCTGTTGTAGCCTCTGGGATTTTTTATTTAAATAAGTCATTTTTTTGAGGATCGCAAAGGCAATTGTGTTTGACAGTCGCAGGTTTTCACTGTTGACATGTATGCAGGAGTAACCATTCTAACTGCATGCAGTTCATTTCTTTTCAAAGTAAATTTTTATTAATTTTAAATGTTTTTTATTTCCTATTGTACTAATTTAAGGAAGGGTTTTTAAAAAGAATGTTCATAGGTAAATAATCCCCAATAGGGAGTCATGAGTTACAGATTAATATATTGCTATCTGCTTACTTTTAACAATTAAATATCAACTATCCATGGGATGAATATACAAAACTGAGAATTAATGAAATTCTATGTAAGTATATAATGGCAGTTATTTTTCTATATAATATTTTAAGGCAATGATTTGACATAGCTGAATTCCATTCTGAAACATCTTTTAGTAGCAGGTGAAGAGATGCAGTTAAAAAACTGCAAAATGTTTTTTTAAATTAATTGAAAATTCAAAGAAATTATGGCAATTATGTAACATACAGTTTTAAAGTCCAATGAAATGAAACATTTTAATTTTTATAATTGTAATTTTCTTCGACATTTTTCATTTCTACCATTTATCCGACATATACTTTGAACAAAGGCAAGAATTGAAATGTAAAACATATATGTGATTCCAACTTAATTTTATTAAAATATGGCTTACTAAGGTTTAAGATACAACCTTGCATTTTGTTAGACAAATAAAGCCTTATGGTATATGTATATTCAACTGCAGCAAAACTGATTACCAACAAAGTTAAAAATAATGATATCTTATGTTTTAAAGCTTTTTATTTAAACAGCTTCAGTATAAAGCATACATCTTTCTCATGAAGCCAAATCATTATCTTTTGTTCCATTTCTGTGAAGATAGGTGGCAGCTAGGATATGCCCTTTTGGAAGAATATTAACTGCAATGGTTTGTAGAATGTAGGTGATAGTGTATATGGCTTTATGATAAAAACACTTTAAGCTATGCATGCCTGTATAGGAGTAAATAAGGAATAAACCAAGAAAGAAAGAATGTGCTTTAAATAAAAGCCTTGCTCTAATAGAAGAGAATTTCTGATCCATTTAGACATGTTAATTAGCACAAATGACCTCTATTTTTCAGGAGGCAAACAATGGCTCCCCATTCATGACTCTGTTGTGTCAAAGTGCAGGAATGTAAAACAATTTGGTCCTATTGACTTCCACAATACTCAACTTAAATCCATGAGACATGATATGCAGCTAGGGGCTATACTAAAATACTATCTTTTCCTATATACTTCCTGGAGAAATTCACTATTAATCCGAAGTTTACTTGGGCAATAGGAATTTTTCCAAGTTTAAGTGGAATGTATTGTTCCTAACATATAAGTTATCTCAAGGACAAAATGTATGGGAAAATTAATTTGAGGTAATACCATCATTTAAATTCTTGAATTTTCATTAAGATGATTAATAAGAATTAGCTTATTAATTATAAGCTATTTTTCATAACAGAACTGGGTAACCAAATATCATTGAGTTTAGCATTTCCCAAAGTGCAGCCTTAAGTACATGGTTTCCTTAAATCTTCTAACACCACAAAAAGTCAGTGAAGCAAAACTATAATAAAGGCTTAGATGTTTGGTGTGGTTAGGATACAGCTAGGGCAGAGAAGAAGACAAGAATACAGCATATATTGCTTAGTTAGGTAATCATTTTCATAATTTGTCTGTGTCTGTTTTTTAAAGTAATTAAAATAAAATATTTTTTGTTCTGTAAATTTGGAAGTACAATTAAAATGGGTTATTTTCTGTTGTCTTGAAAGCTAAGTTCATAAAATATCCTTTCTTTTTCTATGGGTGTTTAGATTTTATAAATATAATGAATATAAAGAAATGTTATGTAAAATAAGAGGGAGTATAAAAATAAGAAGGGTTTAGAAGGGTTATTTGTACAATTGATGGGCAAGATCATTTAAAGTTTCATAGGAAGAAGTAATTGAAAGATAGTATCCTTACAGTAGAAAAAAAATGTCTTCTTAAACTCATGTACACACAACCCAGTTCAATTTTCATTTAAATTATTGAAACTGGGAAGATAAACAATAGTTTGAAATAAAGAATCAAAAACTTAATTACTTCAGATAAGATGTTAAGACTTCAGATGCATACACGTATTTTTATTTATCCTTAGTGTAATCCAGAATAGATTTGTAAAATGTAATTTCAGGAAGAATTTACTCAATTAAATCTTCTTTGTGGTATTCTGTTATTATTTGACAGTATAATTGTGGATATTGTTTTCACTCACATTGCCCACTTCTGCTGAATTAATATAGTTATCTTCTTTGTTCTAAGAGCAGTAGTCAGGCATAACAGCAATTATAGCTTGATGAAAGTGTGAGATAATAGTAGTACTAGAAATGTATTTTATACACATTTCAGCTCTGAATGTTTTTTTCCCTTGAAACAATTTTTACACCATTTTCTTAAATACCTTGATAGGTATATTTTTAAAAAGATATTTTGCATTTTTGGGGTAGCATATTTATTCCTCAGACATATCTATGATGTGAAGTTTTGTTAATACTGAATTTACATGTGAAGTAACTGTTACTTGCAAAAGAAAAAGAAAGCATCAATATTTATATATGTTCTTGTGGGACATGTGTAGCCTTTACAATTGGCATAACAAAGAAAATATATTGTAACAGGTCTCAAAATGTATTTTTCATATTCGTTCATGTATCCTATAATAAACGTTCTAGATATTCTAGATATTACTGACTTTCAATCTTCTAGTATTATAAAGGAATTATTTCAAATAAAAATCAAATACTTATATAAGATCTTAATTCAAGTGAAAAACCTAGTAAAACCATATAATTATATTCATATATAATGAGAATAGGAGAGGTTGTAAAACAAAGCATTTCTAATAAACCCATTTCTATAAAGCGAGAAATGCCTTCTAAAAAAGAAACAGCCAAGATATTGTGACACTGCTAAAAATACCAGTACAATGCAACAACCAAAACTTACAGCATTTGAAGATATAATATAAATATTTGGGGGAGAACCATTCAATTCTTGCAATAGCATAGCAGGGACTGTAAAATGGTTAGATGAGGGAAATATTGAAAATTAGGGGGACAGAGAAAATTTTATTTTTATCTGTGATGTGTTTTAACACATATATAGGTATCTACGTCCCATTATCTCCATTGATTCACAGATCTAAAAGAGATATATAAACATTCCTCTCATCAAGTTCTCATATCCACACCTCACTTACAAAGTGGACAGCAGGGTAAGGCATAGAGAGCAGATAGAGTGTTGGAGTTTATTGTTGATGGACAATTTAATCTGGGGGGATGTGGGGTATCTGTATATGGCACCTGGACCACAAATTGAGTGCAAGCATGATGTAATAGTTAAAATATTGCAAAAGGATTGGGGATGCCCACCTAGGTTCTAGATCACCCTCAGCCAAAGAGGCTCACTAGATGGATGACTCTGGACTAATTGTTCTTTCTCTATCCAACTATCTCAGAGAACTGTTGTGGGGGAAAAAATAAGAGAAGGAAGATGGAAGTATGCTGCCTTGATCTCCTGAATGAAAGACAGAAGACAGAATATAAATAAAATATATAGTGTAGACTCTATAGTTTAAACACATAGTTGTATCAACCATACTCCCTCTTCTATGCCCTTTAAGTTACTGTAGCTTCTTATTTAGGACATTGTACCATCACTGATATTAAAATAAATAAATTCAGCCATTATGCCAGTCATCTACATTGTGGAGGGGTACCATCTTCTCTCTCGCCTTCAATGGCAAATTGATTTGACCCAGTCTTGTGGGTAAATATCAAATAGGGGGGAGAGGGGGTATTTAATAAACTTTTATGCTCAGCAATTTATTTGTAATAGAGGAGAGTTAGCTAGAGAAGCCTGAAAGAATAATCTCTCTTTTATTTATGCCCATCCTCTGATTCTCAAACATATCCAAACTATAAATGAAGAAATTCTCTTTTGCTATCTTGGCCACAGATATATTTATTTTTTATATAATGATTAATTTTTGATCTATTTAAAACTTATCCTAGAAGGAGAGAAATAAGAGTTTAATATCACCTGTGGTGAATGTGGTCTGTCTTGCTTTGAAGTTAAGAAGTACAGTAGATGTTACCTAGGATAGAGATTATATATGAGGAGGCAGAGAAAATAAGCATTGATAACACAGAGAGTTGCATTGTGTAAGAGAAACTGGTGTGGGGAAAATATGGCAGAACGTAAAGATATTTTGTGATGCAAAGGTTAAGTTGATACATTGGTGAGATTTTTTGCAAATGAGGTCTGTAAGGGATATTAAGCACTGTAAGAAACAGTATATATATTGGATTCCAAAAATGACTGGCAAGTGTTAGAAGTGTAGGAAAATCTCTCCTCCCAAAACAAACCTCCAAGCAGCTTAGCTGGAAACACTATTTACTATGGGCCACTCCCCACCATTGAGTTAAAAGTGCTATCCATCTACCCTCGAGTTGGCATTTAACAACATCAGAATAACAACTACTGACCCTGATGTCAATCCCTATTGTATTGTATTGTATCTGTTCCTAGGCTTTGCCAAATGATGCTGCCCTGTTTTGAGGGTATCAGTCATAATAGGATTGGTGACTGAAATGTTCTGCTTTGGTCCACTTTCAGCATGTCATCAGCCAGTGGGAGAACCATCCACCATTTTGGGCACTATAGCAAAAAACAATTCAGTTGTGTCCAACTCTTGGCGACTTTATAGGCAATTGTTCTGCAGGCTATCCTGTCAAGTACAGCTTCTTTCAGTTGTTGGATGTTCATCTTTGTATCACAGCAAAGATATGGTGGCTTATTTCAGGATTCTGGATTGTTCTCTTCCCCCCCCCCCGCCAACCAATCATCCCATTTGATCATCCCCCCCAATAAAATGAAAGATATGGGGAAACATCAGGGTGATATTAGTTGCAGAAGGAAGAAACCAGATCCCGGTATAATTGTTCAACTGACTGGGTTTGATAGAGAAAAATAATTAAAACAAACTAGCTCCTGGGCAACCAAAGGTGAACAGAGAAAGAATTAAAATTAAATAGGCAAATAAAACCTATTTCAACAGCCATCATTATTCTCTGGTAGAAGGAAATGCAGGATTGCTACATCTTAAAAATCCATTTCAGGGTATTACTGTACTAAAATAAGTTCATACAAATGTGGCATGCTTACTCCCAGATTAAAATAGTACAATTCTGCTTTATGTTTTGGGGTGCCTGGAGAGAAGTTAACTGTCAGAAATATGGAAAGAACTGACAGGAATGGGAACCTAGAAAATAAAGTGGAGATGGAGACTGGGAGCTGGGAGAGAAATGATTGTAGTAAAGGCTGACTAGTGACCTAAGGTCAAGCCGGATAGCTATGCCTCCCAATGCTTACAGTACACATCTTCACCTCCACAAAACAGTAACCATTTAAAGGTTTAATACAACTTAACCATGGTAGCATAATGTTGGCTTAAGAGGGAAAACACTGCATGTATAATAGTACTACTAATGATAATTTAAGACTTCCTGCTGATGAGGTTAATATTGTGAAGCCAAGGAGAACAACTGTGTTGTCAAGCTGTGATTGTGCCATTGTAAGTGCATGTGGGATTAAGGCCAAAATCAAATTAGGTGATTCATTAAAACATTTTATTTGGTCTTCAATCTGTTTTCCTTGACCTGGACTTTATATTACCTCAAAGTGTGAGTAAGCCTGTGGAGGCGGGAGAGGGTGGGGGTGAGCAGGCCTTTGAGTCATTACTGACTCCTGATGACTGTCTGGACAAGTCCCTGCAGTTTTCTTAGCAAGGTTTTTCAGAAATGTTTTCCAAACCTATTTCCTAGGGCTGAGAGACATGACTGGCCGAGGATCACTTTGCATGTAAAAAAGGATTAGAACTCAGTCTCCTGATTTCTAGCCTGATGCCTTCCTTAGTCATTACATCAAACTGACTCTCCTACTTATTATCAGGTATATTATCTCAGACTATCCCTGAAAAATCATGTCACAAATATACAGAGACCAGCTAGGAAGACTTTGTTATTTCAGTGAAAGATTTCCAAAATGTGATCAGGAATCAAGATGTTAAAAAAAGATTTTGTTATGAAGTGAGGCTGTGATATTAATATACAAAGTTGTTTTATTCTGGCTACTTGCTTGAATAATGAGAAATGCCAGTATAAAACAACTTTGTATATTGTCATCACAGCCTCATTCCATAATAAAATCATTTTTCTTATTTAGGGGATAAGTATTTCTTATATTTTTCAAATTCTTAAAACTTGATGTAATTACAATGTTTTACTTTTTAAAGATTCAGTTTGCTGTCATTTAAAAAGACAATTGTTGTATTTTATTTAGCAATAGCACTTAGATTTATATACTTCTTCATAATGCTTTACAGTACTCTCTCAGCAGATCAGCATATTGCCTCCAGTATATTGCCCCAACAATCTGGGTCCTCATTTTATAGACCTCAGAAGGATGGAATGTAGAGTCAACCTTGAGCCTGTCAGGACTGAACTCCTGGCAGTGGGCAGAGTTAGCCTGCAATACTGCATTCTAACCACTGACTCACTATGCCTATAATTGTTATTTGGACTGCAATTGATTTCAAAAGGAATCAATATTTAGAACTCATAAATGGTTGCAATAATATTTGTAGTAAATTAATGATTAAAGCTTCATATTGAAGAGGAAGAAACAAAAGGAAAAGCTGTCAAAATGTAATTGTGTGGAATCTTAATATTTTACACTATGTTTATTCCAAAATACTATTGTGTTCAGTACATTAGCATCTAGGATAGATATACCATGCCAGCTTTTATTATACTTGAGGGCCATAGATATCTCCCATCGACTGGCCATGCTCCTTGCCTATCTGACTTTTTTTTTTTTTTTAAGGAAAAAAAAGGGAAGCATATTTTTGAATATTTCCTATTCAAAAGACTTCCAAGATGATAATTATCTCCAGGGCTAGTTGCTGATAGGACCAAAACATATCATGTTTGTCTCTATCTCACTACGCCAAAAACAACTTTATAAGTAGCAGTTCCGAGGCAGCCTTATTCCACCAATAGTTAATCAGGCTTAGACCTAATTAATAGTGGGATAGGGAGCACAGGAAATCTGAGGAGTAAGATCAATCAATACTTTTTAAAAGAAATCTCCAAAGAAGCAGTGGCAAACTGTTTTAATGTTGCCAAGAAAGCTACACAAATGTGTACTGGGAATCATTGACATTGACTGTAAGAATGCATCCTATTTGACAATAAAAATATACATTTTGTGTATAATTTCTATATGTGAGACAGAAAATTCAGGGAAGATATTGGACCTTTGTGTTGAAAATAAGTTTTTGCAGCCTCCTGTCTGTAACCGGGCCATGTTTGGGTTATGTTGTAGCTGCCATTAAGAGGGGAGATGTTGTGGAGGCTTGTCTTAAGATGGTGGGGGGGGGGTTATGATTTTGTAGTAACCTTGAAGGCAGAATGATGCTAAGTGGGCTAAATAGTGGAGATGATAAGGCAGCAGTAGGTGGAGGAAGGGGAGAATGTGGTCTTTGGGTGAGGGGGCAATGCAGAGGATTTTTTTTTTAAAAAAAAAGAAAGGGAATTGCTCTTTGGACTTTTCAACATGGTAGGATTGTCATCAAAATTATATATGAGTACTGAAATGAAAAGACAGATCAATATGTTTCACGCAACACAAAGTGATTAGTGAACACATAATGGCGGAAGACAAAACTGTATCTTAGTCTTTCCCATGCAATCCATGCTGTCGATTTAACGGAGAAAAAGCGGTGCAGGGGAACAATAATATAGACATGAGTGGAGTATTCCATTCGGGAGGCTTAACTCGGCCCTGGATCCGAACACCGGCGGAGAATTCCGCGGGCCAGAAGAGGGGCAGAACCAGCATTGGGGAACGGGATTCGTAACGCAAAAGCAGGGAAAGGAGGCCGGGCGCAGGGCGGGTGGCCTTTTGTGGCGACCGACGCTCGAGTCACGACCGTTTCTCTTCTCCTTTCCCTCTCGCAGGCTCCAGCAACAAGGCCTCTCCTCCCAGGGTGCGGGGCGGTCGCTGCCGTCGGAGGAAGAGAGCGCGGGCGAACCGCCGCTCGGCGCCGCCGCCAGTCCCGCCGCCAGCCTATCCAGTAAAGCCGCCGCTTCCTCGGCCATCTCCATCACCTCCAGTGACAGCGAAGGCGACCTGTGAGCAGTAGAAAAAGGCCCCGCCGAACCTGCGAGGATTACAGCGCGGAGGCTGCGGGCCGAGGAGGGACCTGGCGAGGACGCAGCGATACCCCGAGGGCGGCCCCCGAAACGTTACAAGGCCAGCCCTCTTCGCTCGCCGGCTTCAGCTCTTGGCCTTGTCCGCAGTCCGCACCTGAGAAACCCCGGCAACAGGCCCTGCCGAGAGAAAGACTCCGAAGCCTTGAATTCTTCAAGCAGGAGCTATTGGAAGGTGTGGAATCAAACAACGGGCGCGCGGGTCGTAGAAAGAGTGACAGACCTGCGTCGCCTACTGGAATCTATTATTTTCCCTCTCGGAATATCCGACTGCAAAGACAGTGATTTTTGTTTATTTTGTTTATATATATATATATAAATATAAATATTTTATATAATGTTTATTGAGTTATTTAAATTGCTCCATTGGTAGATTGTCTTATTTGGTGACCCTAATCATTATTAATATTGTTATTATATGGGGCGGTGCCTATGTGAATAACTGACACTGTATTTCATTTCCTCCATTTGTGGAGCATGTGCAGGATCTGATATTGTATGGAGAAGAAGGGCAGCCAGAAAACGGAAAGAACAAATTAAACCAGTATAGTAATATATTTGGTGAGCAAAATAAATTCTGCTATTCCCTTCATTGTGTTAAAAATTCTTAATCTTGGAAAGAACAGTATTGAGAAGGGTGGGTCAGTAACAACATGAGAAAGGTAGCTAAGAACAATATCTGGCAAGAGGGAATTTGCAAAACAACTGTGTTTGCAATTTACTTTATTCATTATTAATTGTCTCATTGAGGCTATTCAATCAATTCTTTTATGGATTCATTCAATGCAAAATTATATACTAGCCATAGGGACTGACTTTGCAGAAACACAGCCACAATACAATGTGGAAGACCAGTGCATTCACTTATTTTGTTGAGCACACAGCTAGTAGATAGTAGATCCTTTTCCTATTTAAGTAACACTTGTTCACTTGGTGACTTGGTGGTTGGAAGTTCATTTATAAAGAAAATTATTGCTCCGTGGTTATTGCTGAGTCCTCCCCGCCACTGCCCAGGATTTTATGATTTAGGAATAAAATGATCTTACCAGCCAGATTGAACCAGAGATAAAAGAAGAGAAGAAAAGAGAAGGAGGGAACAGAAATGCATTTACATTTAAAAAAAACAAAGCTAAGTAAATCTTTTAGCATCTTGGAAAGAGGCTACAATCCATTTTAGCATATTACTTGCAATAAGCCCCCTTAAGTCAATAGGATATTCAACCTCTAAGTAATCATGCCTAGGTTTGGAATATATATATATGAGAAATATATATATATATTCCAAGGAAAGGGGTAGATGTGATGATAGTCTTTTCACTTTCAGATTCCTAAATCCCAATTATATGAAATAGTCCTTAAGAGCAGGGTTACAAAATTAATCCTTCTAAATACTATAAAATATAATCCCTTATCTTTTCAGTATGGAAAATGATACAGAATTGCAGCTGTACTTCCTTTTCTGTAAAAACTTTTCCATGGCTATTGAGAAAAAAAAATTAACCTGGCCAATATCAAGATCCAGGTATTTTCTGTTATTCATTTCAGGGTTTAATAGGTATTAACCTGAAAAATGCATGGACCACTTTAAAAATATGCTACATAAATATGGTATACAGTGTGATTTACTGTATACTCTTATCTATTTAGCAAAATTAATACTATATTGTGTTTCATGCTTCAATAGTTTTTCTATGTACTAACTGCATAGGATCAGTCCAGGGAACGGTACAATCCTATGACCATGGGATCCTAAGTATATGTACTCAAGAAAAGCAAATGCAACTCACCCTGAAGTAGGTAAGTGTAGGATTGCAGCATTACTTGTAAGTGTCTTTGAAGTATTGTAACTTCCTTCCATGTAAGCCTACATAAAATAGGGTTGTACCATCAGATACAAAGCATCAATCTTTAAAATCAAGCTTTTATTTTCATTCAAAGATAAAGCGTGTTGCTGCTCCCCATTGCCCACCCTATACATTATTCTTGCTAATGTTAAAAAGTGATACTGGTTTTATTGTATTTCTATTCTGTTCCTTTTCCCCTCCACTTTGGAATTAAAATTTCATGAGGCAGAACCTGAGTGTCCCCATTCAGGCTATGTTCTAATGCTGTGCTTCTTTATTGGAACAAGGAGCTGATTCTATAACACTTACCAGGGCCTTTTAATGAATGAGCATGTTTGTGAGCTGCTAGATATTTACCTAGGTTCACAACTCCATTGAGACAAACTCCTCAATTTTTTTTAATCTGCTGTGGGTCAGACTAAGACAGGTAGGCAACCTTGGCTCTTTTATGACTAGTGGACTTCAATTCCCAGAATTCCTGAGCCAGCCATGCTGACCCATGCTAGTTCAGGAATTCTGGGAGTTGAAATCCACGAGTCATAAAAGAGTTGCCTACCCCTGGACTAAGAGGTGCAGGCAGGCAGGAACCCTGCAAATGCTTGCCTGGCTTGTTGGGTAGATCCCCCCACTGCCTAACAGGCCCGAGATTTGGTGAAAGAAAGCAAAAGGCCTTTAGCAGGAACACCAGCTAAGCTGCTTTAGTGTGTGTGGGTTTTCTCCTTCCCCAGCCAAAGGGATTTTATACCATTACAGAGTTTGAGCACTGATCTTTAAATCACTTGAGCTGTGCTGTTTCAGTCTTGTTTTTCTGTGGCGTTTTTTTTTCCCAAAAATAAGCTGATTGCTTGCAGTTTGATTTCTTTTCGCTGGGAAAATATGGAAGAAATGACAGGCAGGGTACAGAGCCAGGTCTTTTAGAGAGGTTACTGGAAAGCTATTGCTTAGAAGGCAATGTTGTATATTCTAATATTCCCCCACTTACTTGGAAATAAATTTCATTATTATTCAGATGTTTCAGTTCTGTTTCTGGGGACTGAATTGCCGTATCACTCTGCTACTGCCAGTAAAAGGCTACAGGCCAGCTAAAACGGGTTGCCCATGTATCAGTCAGAACCTCTCTTTTCTTTTTAATTTAAAGAAAACAGAAGGTAGCAAGCTGGAATACCCCCTCCAAGAACTGATTACTAGGGGAGTAAGTTGTATTGGGTGCAACAGGGTTCACTTTTGACTGAATAGCAGATAAAGGAACATTTAAGTCCTCCATCTAGAATGAATTTTCAGAATCCCTTGTCTTAAAATCACACCTTATGTAAGGCAATATTGAAATATCTGCTGGGAGTGGACAGAAAACATGCTGAGGAATCTACTTAATGACACCTAGTAAAGCAAATCATTTGTAATACATTAAAGAATGCAATATAATATAATTAAATAATTAAAAATCACCCATTTATTATAATACATATTTTAAATTATTTATTTATCTGAAGTTAAGCCAGATTTATTCCCTTAAAAGATCTCTTACTGAACATTTCATCCAACTTTCTCTCATGGTCAATGGAAGAGAGATCTAATAGTTGCAGAATATAAACCAAAGTGGGGTTCTGCTTTAGCATGAATTTAGAGACATGTCTGTCTATGTTGCTGAATCATTCTATTATCCAAAGAGCAGAATCTAGTTGTAATTCAATAATTCAAGTTAATGTATTGTAATGCTAAAGTAATTATTTTTTTCAGTATATAATTCAGTTAGTATGTAACCCAGTTTTCTCCAATTCTGAGCCAAAGCTGATAAATAAGAATGATCCAGTGTAATAATAATATAACTCTGAATAGGATAACAATCTCTTTGCTTGCCTTTTAATACAGTACGTGCAGGATAATACACTGTCCAGCCTAGCTGATCCTTTTGGTAAACTAATTGCTAAATGTAAAATCAGCACACTCTCTGGGGAAATCTCATTGTGAGTGGGAAGATCCCTAGCAGGTCTTGGATTCTAGCCAAGTGGCTTTGGCATTAATGTGAGTGTAGATCAGGGGTTCCCAACCAGGGGGGCCAGACGATATTCCAGGGAGTGCGAAAACTTGGGTTTTCAAAATTATAGTGTATATGTATAATTTGTTGCCATTATTTTGAACTTTTATAAGGGGTGCGAGAATATATCAGCGTTCTAGGGGTGCAGGGTATAGAAAAGGTTGGGAACCACTGGTGTAGATTAATATATTGATCTCTGCCTTTATTACTTGAACTCCTACTGAATCTGAATTTGAAGATCAAGAACAGAGTATTTCTCACAAATGTTGGAAGCAAGATACTGCCAAAGGGCATTAAAATAGCTTCCCTTTTTCAAACACTGTTCATAGCAGAGAAGGCAGTTTTGTCAAAATTCTTTGTTGTATAATCAAAATCAAGGAGTTAGCATCGGAGACACTGAAGTGGATATTAAACGTGCCTCAAAATGTTGCAGCATGGAAACTCTTTTGTTTGGCACCCTGTGACCTTCTCTAGAACACCCTATATAACATTGCCACCACCACCACCACCCCTTTTCAGGCTTCACTTCTCCAACATCATGCAGCATTCCCATCATCGATCAGCATGTTCACCCATCCCTAAACTGCATCTTCCTGATTTAGGATTCCTCATGTTAATCATTTGTTTACATTCCTGCCTAGGCTCCCAAACTTTAAAAGGCTCCCCTTTGTTTACAGTGGACACTTTTTGACTGCACTAGAGATCCCATTGGTAGCTCCTAGTTGACCTTGGCTGATTTCAAAACAGCTAAGGAGGTGAAAGTGCTTGGATAAGAGAACATCAGGAAACTTCATTTTATTTTATGTTTTATATTTACATTATATATAATTTATAATTTCATATTGTATGCTGAACAGGGAAGCTGAAAAGATATTCCAGAAGATGGCAGTAGGAACTCACTTCCCTGTTGTTCTCAAGAATACATATTCATTAAGGTATCAGATATTGGGGAATCTTCATTACTACATACAGTAGAGCAGAGATAATTCTTTGCATAGACCTTTACTGATACTTTCCCTGTCTTTATGCACTTCAACAATAGTGGGCTTGCAATTCTCAGAATTTCTACCCCATGCTAGCTACTTGTTCAGTGAGCTGCAGTCTCAGGATCTCTGGAAGAGACCAAGTTGGAAAAGCTACTCTGCTGCATGTATAAGAGAAGATTTTAAAGAGCCATTTGCTTCATCTGGAGGTAGGAAGTTGAAATATACAATAATAAGGAGGTCAAAGACTGTTGCTGCTTTGACTGAAGAACTGGAATATTAGGGGTGGACTTGCCCACTGTTTACAAACATTCCCCCACCTGTTGTTTAAGAGAAAAAATAAATAAATTTCAGAAATTAACTGCCTTTATCCTTGCCACTGAAGAATTTCACATCTGTGAAAATACCTCTAAGATGGGCTTTGCTTCCCTCGTTCTTTGAATGGGGCATAGGTTTATCGGGGTTAAAATGATGGAACACGTTGACGTGATATGAAATGAATTGCTGTGATCAACATATGATACCAAAATTAGCGTTAAAGGGTGAAATAGTCCATTCTGTCAGCTTAAAAACCTCTGAATGCATCCATCCAATTGCACAGGAAAATACACAGAGGCCTTCCTTGTGCAGAAGGAAGACAGGAATTGGTTATTTACATTAAACAAAGCAAGGTTTGCCAGAAGTCTGCCTTGACCTGTCTCTCTTTAGCCAAACAAAGAGGAAAATATTGTATCAAAAATAGCCTGAATAGGGAGGGAGGAGAAGTGAAACAGCTTTTCCCCTCTATTCAACCAGTTGAATACTTCCGTTTCTTTTGAGAAGGAGAGCAGGCTCTAGCCATGCCTGAATGGGAAAGTCTTGTAAGCTGGTAGGGAGGCTGTCAAACGGCTCAGGGTAATAAGCACTAATGAGAGGGTTTGCAGTTCTCCCTGGGACAAAAGGGGCCTGGGAGGGTTCTATCAGGACTGAATAGCCGGTAGGTTTTGGGAAGAGATGGGGGGGATGAGTGAGCTGTCAATGGATAGATTTTGCAGGGAGCAAAGGGGGGAAAAAAAGGGAGACAGGAGTCTTGGCTTGGTGCAGCTGTGCACAGAAGCTGTTCCCTTTAACAGACAGCCTCTTAGCCCCTTTTACCTCCTGCAGGGCAGGGCTAAAGCAGACAAAAGCAAGCTTGGGACCACCAGATAAACAAAAGGGGAAATAAATTTGGGTTAAATACACACACACATGACACACATATGCACACAGCAGTGATCCTCAACGCAGTTAAGCAGAGACACACAAATGGAAAGTCAAATGACCCCTATAGATTAATTATTAACCAAGATAGATTAATTTAGGAACAGAGGACAGGATAATGCTCATATTAGAAAGCAGATGGATGTCCAGAATACAAACACTCATTTCTTTTTTTCTTATTCTTTTGCTGCTGTCACAAATTGATTCCGAAGGTGGTCCCAGAGAAGTGGTTGAGCCTGGACCAAAGGTTCAGTATTTGAATCCCTGTTTGTTTTGTTGAGTTATTTGAGGCCAATCACAATGACTCAAAGCCATTCTACCTTTCATGGTCATTATTACAACCATCACAGGAAGCAGCTCATATAGAAGGAAGGGCAGCTGGAACACTTGGGATAAGTCAAGGGGTTTTCCTTTTGGATTCTAAAAGCTACAATTTGTGTTTGTTTATTCGTCCTGCAAGGGCTGAAGGTGACATGGCTGCTCATATGGTCTTAGGAATAGAGTGGTCAGGTCTGAAATTTTAGACAGTTTTTTATTTTGGAGTGGAATTTAGGAAAATATGCAAAATAGCTATGTTTAAGGCAAAAATTGCACTTCAGAATACAGAAATGACCATTTTGATTCCAATGTTTAAGGTATGATCCAGGAAAGGCTGGGAAACTGCAAATGTAATCTGGGAGCAATGGATAGGGTTAAATAAAATGCTTGAATTCTAGTGGATGAAATACAGTGTTATTTCCATACAAATGAAAAGAAAACCCAGTTGGTTTTTTTTTTTCAAAGTTGAGAAATATCAAACCAATTTCAGTGCCAATATACTGGGTGAGCTACAGTATTGTAGAAAACATCATTAAAAGCCCTCCCTACTCTCTGATAGTTTTATAACAGCTTACAGAGGAGTGGAGATGTGATGGAATACTCTATTTTATATTCTATTGCACATCCTGCTTATTCTGGCTTGAAATGAGTTCTAAATATCTTTTTATTTCAAAACTGGTTCTCTTGTGTTACATTGTGTAACTTGTACATGCTTCTTTCTGTACTGTTGGATGGAGACTAACCATGGAAAAAGAGTGGAGTGCCTATTTACTGGTTTGCATATTAAAATATTTTTATTTGTCTTTTAGGACAACTTAAACATTCCCAAGAATATATGCATTTCAAAAGTTAATATGGATTTTTGGTCTTGTTTGAAAATTGTCTAAGGGTAGGGCTGGGGATAGAGAATACGTCACTGCTGAAAATAGTTACAACTATCACAAATGGATTGGTGTCAAAACACAATGTTTCTTAACACAAAAACATGAACGTTTAAAAAAAATAATTAGTCAGCTTCTTTTATTTTCCAGTGGTTCCATTAAACCCATTACATATATTTTTAAGGATGCCGGCTGGAATTTGTGATGAAGAATCAAATAGAGCGCTTGCAATGTGTCTGTCTGATTACAAAACAAAACAGAGAGAGGAAGAACTGACTGAAAGCATGCAAGAATTTTTTTGATAAATAAAGAACAATCTTAATTCTGAACAGAAAAAGTTTCAAAAAGTTAATTTTGATAGAAGCACAGAGAGATTGACTGGAAATGGGTATAAACTAAAGTGTAAAACATCCATAGTATTTCTTCTAACAAAAAAACCAAAGAAAATAGTTATCTAGTGGATCCAGGAAACTAGATAACCTTGACATCAATATCTGGAAAAATCCTGCAAAAGATAATCAAGCAACTGATTTGTGAGCATCTAGAAATGAACAAAGTGATTACCAAAAGCCAGCATGGGTTTTGTTAAAAACAGATCATGTCAGAGAAACCTTATTGTCTTTTTTGATAAAGTGACTAAATTAGTGGAACTGGGAAACACTGTGGATATAGTATACTTAAACATCAGTAAGGTATTTGACAAAGT